TCAGCCTTTTGCATTGCCTTATTGTGCTGATTCGTCTTATACGAGTCTTGTGTGAGTATGTGAATATATTCTGAGCGCAAAGGTAGCAAATAGAGTACAATGAGAGACAAAACAACAACAGCGATAGTGCACAATTGTCGCAACGTCGATGGGATTTGGCATCTGTAGAAGTTTTCTACATTTGTTTTTGCCTCTATCTTCTTTCTTCATCTTTTCAGCGCTTCGTTTTTGTGTTTGCCTATGGGGCTTAAGATTTATGAGAGAAAGTACAGAAAAAGGGCGCTGACGTGGGCACAACACAGAACATCACGGTTAGGTAAAGCAAGAAATACATTTCTTCGTATATTATAACCTCACTAATACGCAAGTATGTGTGCCTAGGTATATAATAATGGTATGAACGTTTCATGCGGACATATTCTTGCTTATATCCAGAACTATCGTTAATAGTCTATCTTCTATCTAATTATCTTTTTTTAATACTCCCAAGTACTAAAATGTTTTCCAGTTTTATTTTACATTTTAAATGCCGCGAAAACAAAAGAAAAAGAGATAAGCCAAACATGCGTTCGGCCGACAGCAAAAAGATTTAAAAGTATTATGTCTGGATAAATCAGAACACTGTGCCTTATTGGTTTCTAAAATATTATTCATTACAATAACAATAAAGTCTCCCTAATTCTCCAATTACTTTGTTATCTTGAAAATGTGAAAAATGAAATATGCAATTATCCATTATACAACAAAGTGAAACACGTGGTCAGGAGAGGTAAATTAGTTTATACTTATATGCGGATATGCAACGGGTGAACTAAGTAGCTGTACTTCTTTATTGACAGATCAGTCGTGAGTAGTGTCATTTATAATTAATATTATTTTTGTTCAGCATTGTTTGACTTTTCATCATGGAGAGACTAACGCTTGAACAATGTTTGAAAAATTTTCTACTTTATTACGAAAATTCAGGTCTTGTAAAGAATGTGTTTTCCTTTGCTTAACTTATGGTTAACGTAATTGGCCTATTGAGTGTACTATTCACAACACCCATCTTTTGAGCCAGCATTCATTATCTGATAATATTCGACCGAATAGACCACGTCCAGCACGCAGTAAAGAGAACACATGAAGTGTATACGAAGACCCTGGAGAGTAGATTCGACCTCGTTCGCAGCAACTCGGACTGACGTATGAAACGACTTGGCGCATTTTGGGTCGATATCTTAATTGAAAACGTACAAAATGCAGCTTGAACAAGTACTGAAGCCGCTCGACCTTTCCCAGCGACATGTTTCGCTTCATGGGCTCTTGAAAGGTTCCAAGAAGATCCGCCAATTTGAGCCAAACTTTGTTCAGCGATGAGGCCCATTTCTGGCTGAATGGCTTTGTAAGCAAGTCAAATTTTCGCCTTTGGGACGAAGAGCAACTTGAAGAGATTCGAGGGCTACCATTTCATCTAGATAAAACAACGGGTTTGTGTGGTTTGTGGGCCGGTGCAATCATCGGTCCATATTTCTTAAAAAATGATGTCAGTGGGAACGTACCCGTCAATGGCGACCGTTATCGCGCCGTGAAAACCGGCTATTTAATGCCTGAAATTGAAGCTCGTGATCTCGGCGACATTTTGTTTTAACAAGATGGCGCCACTTTTCACACATAACATCAAACAATGGATTTATTTAAAGAACATTACGGTTAGCAAATAATTTCACGTTTTAGGCCGGTCAATTGGCCACCAAAATAGTGTGGTATCACAACGTTCGACTTTTTCGTGTGGGGATATGTAAAATCTAAAGTCCATGCGGACAATCTCGCTTCGATTCAGGCCTTGGAACAAAGCATAAGGCGTGTCAATCGCCAGTTAAATGATGAAATGAGACACTAAAAAGTGTTTTTAGAGGGAAATACTTTTGTAAGCCACTGTATCTGCCTATATAAGTACACTTATATAGTGTACTATATCCCACAACTTTATGTAAATAAAAAGTCATTCGGCCTTTAAAAATCAATAACCAAAATTTTTGTTATACAAGTTTTTACCACTTTGAGTCAGACTTGTTTAATTTTCGGTTTTTTCACTGTTCGATTTCATCGACGACGCTTGATGAACTCCAAAACCGGTTCTTTATAAAAGAAGCTAAAAAGTAAGCAACTTGATGGCTTGTAAAAAATTACTCAACTTTTGAAGCAATAAACCTTTTCATTAGGGGAAAAAATACAAAAAAAAAAAAAAAAATTGGAAACAGAATAAGAAATTAAACAAAAATTAAGAAATATGGTTATAAATATAATAAGAGCAAACACAAAAACAACCCATGAATATGGCAAGCGGTACCTTCCACTAAAATAAGCACACTACAATGAACCAGCCACAAAAAAAATTAAAAATTAAGAAAAAACAGAAAAAATAAAAAGGTAAATAAATAAAAGCCGACAATTACTGGCTTCGTGGCGTCAACACATAAGCACATAAGGGTAAGCACACTTATTTTGAAAGCACGCTTTCGTGAAAACAAGCAAATGAAATCCAGAACGAACCGCCGTAGAGCTACTTAACAGCCTGCATTTGACAGACGCTGAATTCAAAGGGGGCAAAGAGAACTGATTATTGTATGAACGAGCTCGTTGTCGGACGGTATACGCAAACGAATGGCGAAAATAAAGTTGGGGACGAAAAGTGAAAAACAAATTATTATTATAACTAAGGCGCAATAAACAAAATACACGCCGACACAGGCGAAATATAAGTTCAAAATAAATGCTAAAAATAAAACAATGTATGTAATGTATGTAATGTACACACACAAATATGTACATGTGTATATACGGTAATAATAAGCGAAAATTGTTTTGATATGGCGTGGAATGGAGATAGCAAAAAACGGGCCGGCATCTCGCTGAAAAGTCAGACCAATCAAAAATATGAATATTAAAGCATATACATACATATGTACATATGTACATTCATATAAATTTTCAATGCGCTCTATTACTTTGCTATTGACTTTTCGTATTATCAAAGCGAGCATATGTGCGAACGAAACTGATAACTACAACACTGTTATCAACAGTAAACAATATATGTTTGCATGTGTGTGGTTTGCCAAGAAAATAGTTGTTTTTCAGAATTTTGAAATTTTATCAGAATTAAATGCAAAACAAGTAAGGGTTGTACGCTGCCAGTTCTAAAGAGCGTGCAGCTGTGTTCTACGCCTGCAATTGGTCGGTGCTTATCATCTATTGCAAGCAAGTAAACCCTGCAGTACAAACTTTTCATCACAAACGAGTTTTATATATTATATTGGGTGACCCAAAATTATTACAAAATTTGAATTTGCCGCCACTTATGTAGTCAAGTGTTGGCAACTCTTAAGAAAAACAAGTAAAGAAGAGCTAAGTTCGGGTGCATTCGAACGTTTTATGCTCTCGTAAATACCTTAAGGTAATAATGACTGGAAGCGTTCGGTCGGGTTCCGAGATATGTGGTCATTCAGAATCTTGGAAAAGAGCTTCGCTGATAATTGTTTGTATCGAGCAAGTGTTTCTGATTAGTAAAATTATTCAAAGAGTGACGATGACACACGTCCAGGAGGGTCATCTACATCAACCGATGATCAACACGTCTTTGAGAATCGACGATTAACAGTCAGAGATCTTACTGGCATCGTTACAATATCGGAAGGATCAGTGAAAACTATTTTAAAAGATCATTTGGACCTAAGAAAGCACTATTGGCTCTGAAATCACAAAATTTTTCGGAAAACAACCAGGATGTATTCGTAGAAAAAGGACGGAATTGTCTACCGCAAATTCTTGTTTTGGGCACAACGATAATGAACCGTTGCTGTTGTTGTTCTCACGGTTATCTAATCTAATTAGGATGGTAAGGTTTATCGAGGTTGTCGTCGACGTCGGCGTCATCTAACGGGAGGAGAAAAGTGCTGTTTCAACGGGGTCCGACTAAAGGGTTTCAGATGATTGAGGTTGGAGGGGCATGCAAAGAGGTAGCCAGTGTCATGCGGAGACTTAATGCACCCAGGACGTATGTTGGATATGTCGAGGTCTATTCTGGATAAGGAGAAATTTAACTTGCTACAATATCCAGAACGACAGCAGCTGAACTTGACCTTTTCTGATAAATTATGAATCTAACGCCGCTATTCGGGGGATTGAACGAATTCAACAACTTGCTATTATTGACAATATTTTTCTATTCACTGTCATAACCTATAACAATATACTTTCTTAATCATGCTCATCAATGCTGCGTTTCGAACTTCGTATTTTATCAAGATTGCCAAAGCATAAAAAAAAGATTTTACTTGATAAAAATCTTGATAAATTGTCACTATTTTTTTTAATTTGTCAAGTGCACAGAATATGTGCTTAAAGATTATTTATATTTTTGCAAAGGGGAAATCAACAACATGACGATATAAAGGGCAAAAGGAGCTAGTATTTCAGCTTAATGTATTAAATCCCATGTATAAAGTAAACATAAATCAGAATTAATAAAAATATGTTAATTTTGTAGCAAGCACGACACATTTGTAAAAAATTCCAAGGCTTAAGTTGAACGAAATCAGAACGATTTATACGGAGTTAAGTTGACCAAGCCCTGCCGTAATGTAAAGGGCGAGTGTTCAGTACAAAAACAAATGCAATGTTGACAGACAGGTTTTGTTGTATTTTCGATCATACATATACATACATATACTTGCATATGTAGTACCTATCTAATTAATTACTTTGTTATTTTATTGTAATTATCGGAATTTCAAATTACTTTCATTGTATTTGTCGCGTATTACATTATGTACATACATATTTCACTGCCGAATCGGGAGAGTTGCGAATGTGTTGGGGCACGTGTGCGCCCGAAAGTCTTAGCGAACTTCAATTTATCAAAGTGTTAATCGTTCTAGTTGCATATTTAAATATTGACTTAGTTGGCGAATTTAACTTGATTATAGATAGCTACAATCTATTACTTTGTCACTCACCTGTTTCACGCTTGCGTTTGCTCAATATTTTCTGCTGCACCGGCTGCCTTTGCTGCTGCTGCTGATTACTATACTGGTATTTRCTTGACGCAGCGGAAGAGGGATAACGTAACGTGGACGTTTGCTGCCGCTTCGTCGATGTAACTACACTTATCTCGTTATTAGTGGCAAGTTTACTAGTATTATTATTACTGTTGTTGTTGTTGTTGTTGTTGTTGTAGCTGCTGCTGCTGCTGCTGCTGCTGGTGATGACACAGTTATCACCGTTGGTCTCTTTTAGCGGTTGTCGCTGTTCCAGCGGCTGATCGCAATTGCTATCGTCAATATAAATTACACTCTGCGCCAAATTATTATGACCGTTTATATCGTCGTCGCTACTATCTGCTATAGCTTCGGCGATGACTGTACCCGCACGCTTGTGCAGATGTTTTTGCTGTTGATTTTGTTGTTGTTCACCGTCCTCAAAATCGCACGGCGAGTGCTTTATATGCGCTGCCACGAAGGGGTAGACAATTGTCGACGTGGCAGCGGCAGAATTCTCTTGTTGCTGTCGATCCAGCTGCTCTGGTTCGGACTGTTTGTCGTGATAACGTTGATGCTGTTGACGAGTCTGTTGTGATTGTTGTTGTTGTTGTTGTTCTTGTTGATACGTACGCGGCGTTTGATAATTGCGTTGTTGTTGTTGTTGCAGTGTCTGCTCTTGTTGCTGCTGAGGCTCGTCTTGTTCTGCTGCCCGCAGTTGGTCCTGTTGCAGCTGTTGCTGCTCGTATTGAAGTACGTGCCGTTGTTCGCCCTCGTACACGGGGCGACTGGAGTAGCCGAAATTGAACGCGTTCACAAGCGACGTTTTCATTTGTATTCGCTAACCGATGAAATGCAAAAATTCCTTTGCAAACTTAATGCAATACAATAAAATCGCCGTCGCGTCGCTTCGTCGTTATTGATTTTAAAAGTGTGGTCGAGCGCGTCCTGTCGCGGTCGTATGAATTGTAACAATTTGTTGTTTTTGTTGCCGTTGTCGAATTAAATTTCGACAAATTTACTCGACGGTGATTTGCACGCTTCACACTCGCTGCCAAAGGTGCAATTGTTGCTGGTGCTGCTGCGGTTTCTCTACGCGCACATGTGCTGTTGTCAGCGGTCGTTGTATATACGTCGATTTGTAACGTTGCGGCAGCAACAGTTTCACGCGTCATTCGTATTCTTTATGTTCATTTACTTTTTAGCGCTATCGGCAATTCTCTTTTTATCATATATTTGCTCGATTATGTTTTGCGTTTCTTGTGTTTTTTTTTTTTGTTTTTTGAATAATTTTGAACTCCGTTGATGTTCTTTTTCAACTTTTTTTGTTGGAAATTTCAACGTTGCTGATGTTGAAATTTTTATTTATATTTTTAATATAATTTTACTTCGTTATTTATTCATTTTCTTTGTTATTAAATCTGATTTTGACTTACAATTAAAATAATTTAAAAACTTTTCTGTTGTCGTTTTAATCTATTAGATAAAGGGTTTTGCGTTAAGATACATTTTCATTTGGATTACTACTAATAGCTCAATATTAGTAAGCTTTCATATATATTAACATATATGTATGTATTTACAACATTATTATGATCATTATTTATTTTTTGTTTACTTCTTTAACACTAAATTGAAACCAAAGCCGAAGAACTGCAAAGAAAAAAATATGACATTAGTATTATGTGTAATTAAAAAAAAAAAATCAACAAAATTGATGTTTTAGTTTTAAACTAAGATAAACTTTCATAAATTAATTATTTAATGATAACTGGTAAGTGTCTGATGTAATATTATTGTTTTTCATCTGAAACACACTGTACATGGTTAATTTTTTGCATATGCCAAATAAGTAAACAAAACAAGCTAATTCACAAAATATAATTCAGACTTAAAGTTTTTGCTTTGTAACTCTGGTGGAAGCAAATTGCAATAAAATTGAGACAGACATTATGAAAATGCGCACAAGCCGAATTTGTTCATGTGTAAATTCTGTTTTTAATTCCTTTGCTTCCACCTGTTTTGCCCACCCGCCAGACTCATGAAATGTACTTATGGTAATTTTAATATCTCAACGTGAAAGCAAAATTGTGATTAACCTTTAAAATATTTTTAGAACACATTTTTCGTTGAATTGACAAAAATATTTAAAAAAAAATTTTAAATGTATGTATGTATGTAACATGTAGTAAACACGTTTGTATGGATGCGTTAATTCAATATAAAAATTCAGACACAACATTTCATCAATATTATATAGAATTATTAGGTAATGCATTTCTTCGTTCAAAAACATCTTTCTGATGCTAGATGACTTTTATTTTAATAAGACAATTAAGAATAAATATTAAATGAGGCCCTGAGGCCTCTTTTTTGTTGGATAATACTTATATTTGAAGCATATTCCGAGCAAAGGTCTTTGTAGGCAACTATCGCAACGAACATACACACATACATATAGTCATACTCAGCGACAGTCAAAAAAGTGTACGAGAGCAAATCGCTATTGGTACAGTACAGAACGACTGAATAAAGGCCGGGAATGAACTGGGTGATGAGTTTGCCTATACTGCAGCATCAACCAACATGGTAGAAACCTTTCATTGCGGTTGTTCCCCACAGCATAAAGGGGCTGGTCCTTAATCATGATGCAGTGGGTGGGGAGAAGAAGCATTGACACCAACTCCTAGGCATGGTCAAAAGGCTTAAATATATAATCAATCTCCCAAGGGAAAAACTTGACGACTTCGTCACGCCCAACAAGCACTTATTTAACATGGTCCTAGCTTATTGTGTGAATTGCCGGTTCTGCGACTTGGAGTCTGAACCAGAATTTGCTAATCGACTTCACAGGATAAAGTCCTTTGGATCCAAGTTTCCAATAGGAAAGGCCTCAATATACATAGGAATATATTGCCATTTATCAATTTGCTGAGGTTAGTTGAGACGTTGTGACTTAGGAGAGGGCACCATAGACCCTAGGTCGCGTTGCTATCTTCAATCACTTATCTAATCCAACGTTCCCTTGTGGGTGTTACAAAGCCAATGTATACTATGAAAGCAAGTAAAAACGCTATTGGGGTACCGCCATCAAATCGCTATATTCGACTAACTATAAAGCATGTGTCAATACTAAGCAAATACTTACTCGACTTTACGCCGCTGAAAGTTCTAAACTGAATTCAGCTTATTTATGTTTTCATGTTTTTCAGTTTTGCTTGCTCCCAAAACCGCACTGAGTTACTACAACTTTCTACTTCAACTTCTTTGCATTTGATTTTCTTACTTACTTGTGACTTCTGCTGTCAATTTTATTGTACTTTTCGGCCAAATAAACACGAAAAGAAACTAAGAAAAACAAAACACACACACGCACACACTAATAATAAAAATAAGTTCAGACAAAACCCAAAAAGGCAATAACTGCTGAACGCTCCGTACTTTTCACTTTGACTAAATGTGTGTGTGTGTGTGGCGAGACGTAGTCGATAGCCAGTAACGCGTGTAGAAAACTTTGGTATAAGTGTTTGAGGACAAAAAAAAAAATAAATAATAAATAAATGTGACGTGCGAATTAAGAAAGGAGGAGAGCAACAAAGCAAAGCAAGGCCAAAAAAAGTTGAGAAGAGAAAAGATTTCATAAAAGCCGGTTTGTTTGGCTCAGGCGCGCTTGTTGTTCGGCTTACCACCGCTGCTGTTGCTAGAAAGGTGGGTAGTTACACACATGTATATACATACATACATTTACATATGTATGAGTGCATATGTAGGTTGATGGTCTGGATTGCCGGCTGGCTGGTTGAATGTTGGCTGGCTTAGTGAGGGGATACGGCGTTTTCTGGTTATTTCAGCTACCGCTGAGAGGGCTCAGTATACGAACGAGCTTTATTATTATTATTATGCTCGTCGCTGCCATTCAAGCGCTGACGTAGACGCAGGTGCGCGGAGTATGGAGCCACGGCGGCTGCAAAGTCGAAAGGCGCTCACCAAAGCGCATGTATGTAGGTAGACTATGCGTATGTAATTCACTGAGAAAAACACATTTACACTTGAGACCAAAATATATGTGTAGATTTGTGGAGCAGAAACCAGAAACTACGCAGCACGAACGACACGGTTTGGTTATTGTACCCTTGTGCAGATGCTGTATGTTTGTATGTATGTATGCAACTCTCTTAACGCATTTGTACATACATACATGCAGGCCAAAGATGACGACGATAGTGTCGGCAGTGTGGGTCTTTTGGGCGAGTCAACCTAACCTGCCGCTGCCTGTCTGCCTGCCTGCTGCTGCTCGATGTCTGTATTAGCTTTTGTTTGTGTTTATTTTTATCTTCCTTATTTTGTTCGTTGTCGCATTAACACAATTTTCTCTGCTTGTCACCGAAGCACCGAACGTTATGGCGCAGTTTTGTGAAGAAAAATAGCTTTATAGCTTTGGCAGATGTCTACACATAAGATATCGAAAATTTTCCACAATTTTATTGCATACTAGATAGAATTTATCGTTTTTTTTTTTTTTTTTTTTTTTGCAAAACAGCACAGCAAATGTTTGCAATTAAAAAATGTACACTATTTAATTTGGTTTGGTCACGCACACACACATTTACATGTACATACATATGTATATACACTCACACACCTTTTAACACTGTTGTCTTCAAAGCTGCGACGCACAAAAGCCTCAAGCTGCTAGCTAGCCACTGGTATTGATGAAAGGTGCGGCAGCTGGTACCAAATACACTAACACCGAAATTGTTACACTTAATTGTTTCACAGCTTGATTATTAGTTGCCTGCTACTAGCTGACTAACTGGCTTTGTGGCTTGTTGGGCTGCTGGTTGATTGGCTTGACTTTCTTCAAGCACCGAACGGGCCACTTTTCAACCGCCAACTAACTAGAGTGTCCGCATTCGTCGATGTTGTGATTCACTCTGAATCATGTCGCTGCTGGCCAGCGAGCAGCAACTACCACTAACTAACTGTCTGCGAGCTAAGTGCTGCATACTATTGCGCCAGTCCAGTTAGACAAGCAGACAAAACCACCCAGAAGACGAGCTCAGAGCGCCGACAAAAACAGGAAGAAGGATGTTTGTGTACTAACAACAACAATATGTACGATGCCTAAAAAATTTCCCTCGAAATTCCGTTTTCGCCCAATTGAACAGCAATGAAGGTGACAATACCGCTGCGCCCAACATACCGCCGACTGAAATTGTCTCTGTGGCTCACTTGTGGAAAATCCACATAGTGGCTACTCTCTCAACATATTTCTCTCGCTGGCAAATGGCGACTTCTCTTTGGCAAAAGAGTTGCTCACGTCATAGCGCATGCACGTTGCACACCTTGCTGCCATGTAACGTGTTAACTGCCGCTATTACTGGAACTATTGCGGGCACTCTCCCTGTGTGAGGTGCAAGCACACCATGTTGCCCCCAATATCTCGCATTTCATAAGCATTGTTATTTTAGTTGCCAACATTGTGAGCTGTTGCTGCTAGTAGTGCTTTCTATTCCTAGAATGTCACCCTCTCGTATTATTGGCAAAAAAAAAAAAAAAGAATTTGTTAGGCACGTAGGCGACTTTGACTGGGTGCAGTCGGTGGTAGGAGACCAGTCAATATAACTATTTCGCTTTCCGAGGACACAACAATGACACGTATACCAAGAACACCCTTTAAGGACGCAGCAAAAATATTTGAATGTGGTACACTTCTTTTGACCTCTCTCATTCACTCACTTTTCGATGCGCCCACTTTCTCTCTGAGTTTTGAACTACGCACGAATTACCACCGGAATTTTACAGTTCTAGGAGTTGAGCGCAAGTGTGTCTTCGCATATGCTTTACCTCGGTGTCATCAGCGCAGCACACAAAAATATTTGCCGGGTAAACAGCACGCCGGCAACAAGAACAACTATTATTAGCCGAAATAAAATAAAAACAAGACAATACATACACACGCACAAACGTGCATATGTAATATTATTGCGCCGTTTTTAATAAACAAAGTAGAAATACATATTAATTGAAAATGTCAGAAAATTTGTGCAAATGAAAAACTAGGCGTGGTCGCGTATTTCCATGGAAAACTGACGCATTTTATTTTCTTTACGAATTTTTGTGGGCAAAACCGTTATGGCGAAAAATCACGAAACCTTGTGAAATTCTAGTTTAATGATATTTCATATATAACACATACATACATATGTATATTACATTTGATATACACATACATACATACATACATACAGAAAAGGTCGTAGTCATCAAAGTTTAAAGGATGAAAAATTGTATTTTTAAATCAGATTATTGAATTAAAATAATATATAGTAGAGCCATAAATGTTACGCATTTTCGAAACGAAAGCACATTTTTATAAGGAAATGATGTTCCATGAATGTCATTAAACGGGTGTTTCTGGTCTGGAAAGAAAAAAAAAAATTTTTGTTTTATGAGAGTTTAACTACTCAAGAATATTTCTACAAGAGAATACATATGTACTGCTACAGTACCCAGAAATAAGCTGGGCAAACGCATTTCCCCAGACAGCCGAGTCTACGTTACTGGAATTGATCCGGATTTTATCCGACCGAGGGCTGTACTTTCGAAGATCTAACCTCGTTTGGTTCGACAAGTTTTAGACTAAGAGGTTTGTACCTTCATTTGCGGTTTAGGTTATCACTTTATTTGTTTTGGCGTAACGGGAGTGTCAATGGTTCGATTTTTCGAATTTTATGTACATATACATATATGTAACTCTATATCTGTCTCGATTAGTTTTAGGTATTACAAACAACAGTTATTATAATTACAAGATGTTGCAAGAGTATAAAAAACAAAACACAACAAAACTAAGATTAAAAAGGAGGCTTGGTTTCAGGATTCTTGGATTTCTAAATTATTCATTCTGAAGTCCAATTAGTTTAAGACGAAACGAATTTGTAATTAAACGTATATGATTCATCATCCATTTCACAAGAATTCCAAGCTTCCAAAAGCGTTAGAACTAGGAACTTTTGGAAAATATACATGTATACATAACCCTATATGTTCAAGACTGATGCACGGTGTTCAAAACAACCGTTAGCTTAATTGAACTGTGATACTCTTGTGCAACATGTTGCGAGTATAGAAACAAAAAGAGAAGAAAGAAAAGAGAAATAAAATAAAATTTTTCTCTTTGAACATCAGTACAACTTTGTACAAACTTTTGTCTCCAGAGCACTTGAGGACAAGTGAGTCGTCAGAGAGTGATATAGGAAAGGAAATTGGTTTTCCCCAAGCGTCAGCATTTGCAGCCGAAAACCGTACAACAACACCAACTAGTCAATACCAGGAAATTCAAGTTAGCAGCGAGCGACACCTCCACATCATCACAACTAGCGCAGCTGCCTGACACCCACACTAAATGTAAATCCTTCGGCGCGCCATTGCTTTCACTCAATGAAATCGGAACATCGGCGATTTGACAGCGTGGCGTGAATGGCGTAAGGTATATGCCAAACAGCGGCCGGGAACAAGCAAAACAAAGAAAAAAAAAATTACCTGCAAATTCATTGAGCGTATCTCCCCCATAAGCCCGGTTGATAGAAATCTACGAAAAGATATGCTCGTATGCATGTATATATTTAATGTTTCTGGTTGCACAGACAACACTGAATGGACGTGGCGATAGTGTGGGCCGAGGACACTTAATTATTTTGCTTATTGGGAACACTTTGAATGAAATGGTGAAAATTGTCACTAGCGAGGAAAAATCACCTCTTACCAAAGGGAGTTAGCATAGAAAACATATGGAAGAAAAATTTTTTCATTGAAAAACTACTAAGAAAGGGTACTTTGACGACTAACATTTGAAATATTTCGTAAACACGTTGTCGCCGCAACTAAAAAAAAATACGCCCATCTCACACATAAAGTCAGGGTGTTCACAATTGTATATTCACATTTAATGTTCTTACATTTATCACTTAACCTCATCAGCTTAAGCTTACACATTTACAAAGAAATAAGTATAGATGTTTATATGTACATATGAGGAACTTAAGAATGACCGGACATTAAAATTACAGATTTATTTCGATTCAAATTATTCAAATTGATAATTTAATCACTTTTCTTGCAGTTTCGTTTACTTTTTAAGTTGGGCTTTCATAAACACAACCAGAGGCATAATTTTGTATACGTTGAAGAAGGTATATTAAGTTTGCCACGAAGTTTGTAGGAAGATCAATTGCAGTCTATACATTTTATATGTATAAATGGTCAACATGACGAGCTAAGACGATTAGCAAAATCTTTCTGTCGGAGAGAGGATACCACTTTGTGGAACCCTGTTTAGATCTTGTCAATTTGGAATTTTTACCCCGAAGAGTACGAATGATTGTCAACCGTTCAGGTAGTTCAACCTCTTTAACCCTGGAGGGCGAGGATTGTTCGATGTCTTAATGTAGTGTTCTGTAGTTGACTGTGTCAAAGGCTTTTGACAAATCCAACGCTACAAGGAACGTCCTTTCACATAATGGTTTTTAGTTGAGGCCATGAACTATCACTCGGGTGGAGTGGCGATGCAGTGCGCAGGTTGCACAGACGTAGGGGCTAAGGCCTGTGCAGGTCTCAGATGAATCCATCCATTGCATGCATCACATCTAACCGTTGCACCACTTCGTTCCGGATACTTATCCAGGATCGACCCCGACATACCAAATTCTCAGTGGTGGTCAAAACATTTGAAAACATAACGACTATTTTATTAAATTTTTAATTTTGATTTGATAAAGTATTAATTTATTTATATATACATATATTTTATTCGAGTTCTTTTTTATATAAATAATCATTAAAAATGTAGCATTAATTCATTCGCTTATATTAGTAAAACACACTAAATAAACCAAAGTCTAAATTCAGGTGATCAAAACATTTGCAACTTTCGCTTTTCCCTTGCCAATCTGGCGAAAAGTTCATCACCATTCGAGAATATTTAACTGCTTATTTCGCGTTTCACCATCAACCACTTATTCTCAACAAGATTGATTATATCAAATATTATAATTTTTGCTAACCGCGTGTGTTTAGGGTCGTTATCGCATTGGAAAGTCAATACAGTTCATTAGATAAAATATGACTATAATTTACAGTTGTCATCATGTCAGTTATACGACGAACTGGACCAATAACATTAACTAAGAAGCACCCCCACACCATAATATTACCACCTCCGGGAAGTTGTGCTATCTGACCCTCTAAGGTCGAATTTCGATTCATGTGACTATAAAATTGAAATCCAATTCTGCTTAGTCCAATTTAAGTGTGATGGAGTAAAATTTTGTCAATATGCTTTGCAAATGTGAGTTTGTTGTTTATAATAATTCCTAGATCCTTGATTTCGGTTAATTCCTGTAGATACTCGTTGTTGAGTTTGTAGTTGGTGACAATGTTGTTATGAGAGCGTGAGAAGGATACGACAGCGCACTTTTTCGCATTGAGATCGAGATTATTTTTTAGACACCAAGTTGTTAAGCAGTCAATATCTTGTTGTAGTTGTGTGACATCGGAATCGTTAGAAATAATTCTGAAGATTTTGAAATCATCGTCATATAGCAGACATTCAGACTGTATATTGTTTACAATGTCATTGATAAAAATATTAAAGAGTAGTGGTTCTACATGCGATCCCTGAGGAACTCCAGATGTGACCTCATATTCTCTAGACAGATGTGCGTCAACCCTGACTTGTAGGAACCTGTCAGCTAAATATGAGTTAAGCCAATCCAGTGCGGTGCCATTTATTAAGTTTTGAGACAAGTATCATGTGGTCAACACGGTCAAAAGCTTTACTAAAATTGGTGTAGATTGAATGTACCTTTTGTCCTTTTCGCTCACTAAGCTCGATGGCGCAGTTTTTTAAGAAAACGTTTGGTATCCCATCGGGTCCGGCACCTTTATTTGGCACCTGCTGGAGTACATCATTGTATTGGACCCCTAAGCTGTGAACGTTGGTTGACGATCCATTTGAGTTAGCATCAACGAGCTGATTGCCGTGAGTTTGTGTGGAAAATGTAGTCTTGAAATATGAGGCGAAAAGATTGCTAATATCCGGGCCGGTGTCAGCTATTTGGTCCATCCAGGACATTGAGGATTGTGTATCAATATTATTTTGTTTTTTATCTTTTATAAATAACCAAAAAGATTTGGTGTCAGACTGCACCATGTTTATGATTTCATAGGAGAACCAGCAGGGATAGTTACTGATAGATTTTTTGTGAACAGGTACATATTGTGATATTTCTACTTCTAGAGTATTGTATAATCAATTGACTTTACTTTTAATAGTGTCCAGTGCGTACAGTACCGTCCAATTGACTCAGTGAAAGAAAGCGTTGAGGCTAAAGTAATCAGCTTTCTTGAGTGAGTAAGTGGTTTATGATGAGGGGTTTATGGGGCAGGAGGATATTTGTCCTCAAGAACGAGAGGTAAAGTTTTATCCACGTAAGCCTCAACATTGCTGAAACAAAGGTCCAGAAGATTGTTCAAGGGCAATGACGCTACTCTCTCTCCTTTTTCGATCGTTCATCTCCCTTATGATGTCTTTTGGAGATGATACATTCTTGTAGGAGTTGAGCTTGTTTTCTACGGAGTAGATCCCGTCACTCAAGTTAGAATATTTTTTTTTCAATGGCAACGCTCTGCTTGGAAAGCTTGCATACTTCTTTCTTTAGTTCAGCGATACTCTCCCCGATAGTTTGTTTAAAATTATCAAATGTTTTATTGAATGTTTGGGAAAATTGTTCGACTTGCTTCTTGAGAATTGTTTCGAATTTATCAATACTCTTATCTCCGCTAACATCAGGCTCCTCGTCAGATACAATATCGATGTCTCTAACAATAACCTCAAATTCACTGCATATGGTGCATCTCCACTGTATACCGTGTTTTTTGATATTAGTAGCAATGACATTAAATTATACATTACTCATTTTCAGACATTCAACGTGGTACCATTTCTGACAAATATGTAGGATTATTAAAGATTTTTCTTTGTTTGTTTGTAATATTGTAATTTAGATTAGATTGCTTACAATGTGAAAGATAGAGAAATACCACGTGTTATTAGTGCTAATTTTTGAACTTGTAATTAATATTATAAAATTTATATCATATCAAGATGACTGAAGTACTTTCGCGTATTAATCCTTTCTGCTTTGGCGGCCTTCGGCCGCACTCTAAAACAGTATTGTACAGTATTACTTTCGTATTGCACTGTATTATATCTGTTAGCGATTTCCATTTATTTTTGATAATACGTTGTTTTGTATATTAGGTGACAATATGTACATATATCTAATATTATTATATAATACATAATTATAATATTATTATATAATATTACTATATAATATTACTTATTTGTTTATTAAATTAAATAAATCCATGCATGGATAGAGGAATTTTTGGGAAGAAAGGAAATTTAGCGAATTTCCTTATTATCACATGGCAGCGCTCCATTTCTTTGTAATTTTGAGCACACAAATGGTCTTCACTACGAGTGTAAAATGTAATTTTAAAAATAAAGATTCCTTAGGTAAAAAAAACAAACCGCTAAAAGTTTAAAATGTGGATTTATTTAAAAGTTTATAGTTTAATTTAATTAATTTGAAGAGAAAAATGTGAATAAAGTGTGTTTAATGTGGTGAAATAGCTTCTCGAAATTCCTAAACTAAGCGTTTGCGGTACATGTATTCAGGATAACTTCCTCTTTCCAACGGTACCTTCAAATCGCGGCGCCAAAGAAATCGGAATTGTGCCGAAAATTGATAAAAAAAAAAGCCTCTGAAATAATTATACTTAAATGCGATATAAATCGAACACGTTTTTAGGATAACACAACTTTTGGCTCGCAAATTTCAGGGTTGTTACATTAAAAATAAAAGGGGATAACCTCTTTTCGTACATAGCCCGAAATCGGGTAATGATACGCTAGCCATCACATCCGCTAAACCCATTACAATTTCTAATTTTGGGGATGATATTTTCATTTTAGGCAAAACTTGTCAGCTAATTTTACTTTCCGTAGTTTTTTTTTTACAAAGCCGACGGATTATGAAAGAACAAAATAAACTCAAACTATAAACTAATATTGAAAAATAATTGGCTGGGATTTAGAATAGCATCCCCGGATTTCGAGGATAAAATGGGTATCACTGGAATAATGCTTTTCTATTATTTTCTTTTGTTGACAACWAGGCAGATATGGCAATACCATTTATTTGCTAGTATGCAACCCTATTCTTGTTGTGCATATGCAGTGAATTTAACTAAAACAAAATAATTGAAATAAAGCTTTATTTGCAAGAAATATTAAAAAAATTTATATACAAAAACGTTATAGTGAAGTTAGTAAGTGAAAAGTGGAAAATATAAGTGAAAAAGTTATTCACAATAAACAAATTATCAATATAAAAGTTGTAAATTTTTTAACTTTAAACGCAAATATCTTTAAAACTATAAGTCAGCGGCAACTATATATACATATATATTTTCGTGATCTGGAGAACGTCACCTTTCCAATGACACTCATTTTATCCTCGAAATCCGGGGATGCTATTCTAAATTTTACCCAAATAATTTTTTAGTACAATATTTGGTAATTTTATACAATATTTTAAAAAATACTCTGCTTTTAGGAGAATACAAATATCTTAGAGGGTTAAAATGTATGTACATAGTTTCTTTTGGCATACGTACACATTGGTGTTGGCCTGTCCACAATTCGTACAGCGTGCACTAGATAAACCCACAAATTGGTCAACGTCGGATGAAGCTATGCAAATAATCATTTGAAATTTTACCGTCACAGTTTTTATTTTTACTTTATTATTTTTTTTTTTTTTGTATTAACGATTTTTTGTAATCGTTTAGCTGGCTTTTATTTATATTCTAAACGTATGCACTGTGATTTTCTCCCTTTGTTCAAGCGATCCCAATTGTTTTCACAAATTAAACTGCATGTTTTTTCGTTTTCGTTGCTATTAACTCGAAATGATTTTTATCTGCTACCTTTTTGCTATATATTTCTCAATAAATATATATTTTCCCACAATTGTTTCACTAAATTAACCAAAATGTAACTATGGGCCGATTTGTTGCAATGTGAAAACTTGTGAACTACGACTTCGCGAACGACCGAGAAGTATTTACGTCTACGTTACGAAATTTATTTATACAAATGTTTTGCCATCATTCGTACACACATTATAGTATAGACGTTTGAATTAGAGTGCATGCAGCCCGGTATGTCTCAGTTTTGTTTTTTTATTTTATTTTTTACACTGGTTGTATTTTTATTAATATACCTCAAAATTATTTTTATTAAATTTACGCCATCGACGCGTACACGCGACACGTTCACCAACACTCAACGACGATTCGACAAAACTGTGAAGAATTTAGCACAACTGCACAGAGATGTACTTACTTGGTACTGAATACTTAAAATTACTAAGGTTGTATTTTAATTATAGTCAAATATATCTAAACTCTAATGCATAAAAAATACTTCTAGAATACTTCTTTAAAATATCTAATTTTTTTAAGACGACTTTTGTTAGTTATATTAACCAAATACTGACATTTATGAGAAACTATCAAAATTTCTTCACAAAATAATTTTACAGCACACAACCCTAACACTCGAGGATAGCAATTACCTGTCTCTTCTACGCTTTTGCACTTAATAATATTGCCATCTCTCCCGAAGTATAAACGTTCAACTAACTGAGGCTAACTTCAAACTGTTTATTACACTGCAAAAAATTTTAATGTAGATCACAACATATCTTCTTCTTCTTTACCAGCGTAGACACCGCTTACGCGATTATAGCCGAGTTAACAACAGCGCGCCAGTCGTTTCTTTTTTCTTGGATATTCCTAGCGGAACCAGTTCCTTTTCTTCTAAACTTGGTCCTTCCATCGGAGTGGAGTTCTTCCTCTTCCTCTGCTTCCCCCGGCGGGTACTTTCAGAGCTGGAGTGTTTTCGTCCATTCGGACAACTGAACCTAGCCAGCGTAGCCGCTGTCTTTTAATTCGCTGAACTATGTCAATGTCGTCATATATCTCATACAGCTCATCGTTCGATCGAATGCGATATTCGCCGTGGATAACACGAAAAGGACCATAAATTCTCGCAGAACCTTTCTTTCGAAAACTCGTAATGCTGACTCATGACTTTTATAATTTGGTGTTTGTTCGTCGAAAGAGGACTTTACTTCTCAATAGCTTACTCAGTCCGAAGTAGCACCTGTTATCAAGACTTATTCTGCGTTTGATTTCCAGGCTTTGGTGGTGGTGTTGATGCTGTGACTTTAAAGTTGTGACCGTCAATAGTGACGTGGGAGCCAAGACGCTAATACGACGATTAATTGTTTGATGATAGGAGCCCTTGTTCACTACCACACTGATTTGCTTTGCTTCCTTGTCCAGTCTGGAGAAAGCAGAACTAACGGCGCGGGTGTTGAGGCCGATGATATCAATATCATCGGCATACTCCAGCAGCTGAACACTCTTATAAAAGATTGTGTCTTCTCGATTAAGTTCTGCAGCTCGAATTATTATGGAGAAAATAGATTAACCCTTATTTTTTATGGAGAAAATAATTCGAGATCTCAATATACATGTATGTGTTATGTTATAATTTGTCTAGATTTAGCTTTTGTTTTATTGGCAATACAATTATGTGACATATGTGCATTTGAAATTACAATAGACATTTATGTTAAACATCATATATTCTTATTATTTTTACTCTTATCTCTCTTATTTAAAACTTGTAAAACGTACATTTTTTAATTGAAATAGGTTTAGCTAAGACTATTTTATTAAATTTAACACAAATATTATATAAAACAAAAGAATTTTTAATAAAGACCTGATTCAAAATTTATAGGATGATACCACTTTAAACAAACATTTTTAATGAAAGATTTAGGGATTAAAAATTTAAAATCTAGTCATTTTGACGGGTTAAGTTGTTTATGCATCAGCTGATTGCATTGTATTTCACATCTCAATTAATTTGTGCTCCTGTGGAAAATACTAAAGGGATGTGTTTGTAAATTTAAATTTTTATTTTTATGGAAATGTCCCGTAGAAGTCAAGACATTCCTATCCGACCACGCTATGGTATTCCAGATACAACAGAAGACGACAATAACAGCCTAATAGAGCGCACGAAACAAAGAACTAGAAAGACAACACCGAGCGCTATGGAGCCTTCATCATACAGTGAAATACCTTTTCTAGCACAATATCCAGATAGGGATATTTCCGCACAAGGGATAGAACGTATACAACGTGCAAGTGCAGAAGGGGATAAAGCCGAACGTACTATTATTGGTGAAGCAGGTGGTGAATACGATGATGAGGATGATAACTCAAACTCCAAAGACAGTTCGTACGAGGATAATAAAACACCAATGCGGCCCAACTCATTGCACTGCGATTCCTGTAAAACAAAAAAATCTAAATATTGATTTTTCTAAACAACATTTTTTACTGTTATAGCTTTTCCTTACGAGTTGGAAGGTGCGACCAGCACAGACGGCGAAATGCGACATTTTGTAGCCGATAATCTGGAGGAAAAAATACGAAGCGGTAGGTTTAAATGGATTAATATACTATATTCAGCTATAAGTTCCGAACTATAGATCAACAGAGTTATGCTTCACATAATAGCACACCTTCAGCCGCCAATGCGAGCGGCGGCTTACTTACACGTCGTTTCCTACAAACTCAGCGACCTCAAATTGATGCGAATGTTTTAAATGACATTGAGATCGAAGCGCAATATTTGGCTGCGTCAGTGGATAATTTGATGGAAAACCTGTGCAATTTGCTGCATTCAGTAAGTATAGTATTCAAGTATTTTCCACATTTTATAATAATATCCGCTGCGTAGATATCTTCAATAACTGCTGATAACGTGGAGGTGCATAAAAACGCAGTAAATAAACTTACAGACAGTATGGATGCCAATATTAAATGCATGTACACAATTATGGCAAAAACAGAAGAAATTACTAAGTCCATGAAGCCAACAGAGCAGCTAGGTCAAAGAATGTAAGTTAACCTCTAAAAATATGACTATTTTGAATACACTTTTGGTTACTTTTAGTCGCGAAATCAAGCGCCTTGTGGATATGCTCGATGGTACTATGTAGGACCAACCGATGGTGGTAAATGCTAATTTACCGAAAACCGCCTGTCCCCTTATTTAATTACACACATTATTGGTAGTATTATAAACGAGTTATTAAAATTATTATAAAAATTAATATCTGAACTATATAATTGTAGAGAATATAAAATAGTTGTATGCACAATTAGTATTTTTCTACTTTTGCTTTAACTATTCGCACACTATCTACTGGTCGATCATTTTTATCAGTCTCCGCCATGCCAATACGCTTTACAACCTGCATTCCTGAATACACTCGTCCAAATATTGTGTGTTTTCCATCTAGCCACTGCGTAGGAGCTAATGTGATGAAGAATTGCGAACCGTTTGTGTCGGGCCCAGAGTTGGCCATTGATAATATACCTGCACCGGTATGCTTAAGATCTGAGTGAATTTCATCAGGGAACTCGTTGCCATAAATTGAAGTGCCGCCACGTCCAGTGCCAGTTGGATCACCGCCTTGTATCATAAAGTCACGGATAATCCGATGGAAAACCACATTGTTGTAGTAACCACGACGTGATAGTTCAGCGAAATTCCGGCAGGTATTGGGCGCATGTTTCCAGTAAAGCTCCACTGTAATTTCGCCCATGCTATAACACAAATATACGCACATGCTTAATAACAACATAGTGTTGAAATATTATGAGTACTTACGTTGTTTCAAGTGTTACAAAATGTGGCTGCCATGCTTTGTCGGGAATACTGGCACCAGTTGCAGCTGCATTACTCGTCGTAGCTAACATTTTTATTTATTTATGCAGTGCTTAATTCAATATTTCGAAAGTAAAATATTGTCAAGTTTGTGGAGCAAAAGTAAAATCAAAACAAATCGCTGTCACAATTGAAGCTTGCCAGAGAGTTAATGCTTGAACCTTACCAGATTAAACAAAAGTCACTGTGATCATTTTTTAGCCATTTACATTTTACTTCTTCCACTCTAATTTTAATTTTCATTAAACAATTGTTACTATTTTTATATATACAATAAACTTATTAAGATATCTATATATTTCATTATTATTATTTCTTTTAGGCTTTTGTTTCTTACTTGAATAGTCACGTGTAGATGTCGCTGTAGGTAGCATTCAGCGGAGAACGTATAATTTTTTACGTTCTCTGGTTCGTATTTCTTGAATATTGTGAAAAGAGGAATGTCAAAATCATTTGCTTTGCTCATAACTTTATTTCATTCATCAACTTTCATCTTATGCGTAAAGTTTAGTTTGCGGAAAAATAACATTGAATTTCGGAAGCAAACATATAAAACGAAAAATGTAACACATTCAAGTGGTTTGTGATTTCGGGTAAATTTCCTATTGCCATCAGTTATTTTAAGTGCTTATGTGCAATAGAATTCCAGATCAACAAAATTTGGGTTTGCTCAGTTTTTAAAGGCACAAGACATAAAGAAATGTAGAAGAAGACGTATGTGTAAGAAGTGAGATTCCAGCGAAAAACAAGAATGCTTCAAGAAAGCGTAGGAAGCGATGATTCTGTTATTATTTTTTGCGTTTTTATTGCAATTGTTCGTTTTTCCTAAAATTACAATGTTTGTAAACTACTGCATTAGTGCTAACGCGTTAAAAAAATTCGTACAATTTGCAATCGAAAAGCCAATTACTGCTTTAGTGTCAGCTGTGTTACCCAAACAAAATGAAGAGGCAGACGTCGAACCCTTTTCATAACCCGCAGTGCTAATGTAATATTTGGAAGTGTATAATACCAGTATGTGCGATATCCTATTCCTCATTAATGCATAACATATTATGCCGATAAGGGCGGTGCAAACAAGAGCGGGTGGTAGATGCGTGTCGGCAAAAGCTAGTGCAAGCGAGAGCGTTTCCGAAGAAAAGTGAAAGTCGAATTCATGAAATAGTAATCACCGACATTACACCTTCAGTTGCAAGTAGATACATATATACTGCAGTATAAGTATGTTGGATATCCTTTTATATACCATATATTGCATGTTTAGTTATGGTGTTTTAAATGACAACCAAATTTTAAAACTAAGCGCTCCCCTCCAAAGCAGTAAGTGGACACAAGTAATGATAATTTCATTTGACAAATGCGGTCAAGGTCAATAAAAAGTGTGCAGATCACTATAACAACAAATGTTAATATGTTGCATGTAACTATGTGTGCATGATGATGAATTAAAAAGTGTTGATTGAGTTCTTTAGTTTTCTCTTTAGAAAAAATATCATATTGAAATAAAATAATATAATAAAATATAAGTGAAGTGTTTCTAATTGAGTTTGCTGACATAAAATGTTACGTGCGACAATGCAGCATTAAAGAATGCGAAACCTGTTTCAGCTATCAAAAAACGAATAAAAAAAATTAGCCCGCCGATACTGAGAATAGGGGTATTTTAACTGTAAGTACCTATTTCATAATTAATTATAATTTGTTTACTGATACTATAAGTTTATTAACAAGAAATATTTTTTATACCCATGTAAATCAATACGCAATTCTTACAAAAGTATACTTTTTTGCAAGATTGCATCCAAAATACATACCTATTGAAATCTTGCCATTAACTGAAGATGCACTGATTTTTTGCAAACCAAAGAAGGTGTACAATATGAAAACGTTCAAAAAAAATTGTTTTGTTATCGAACCTTAAGTATGCACCTTCTTCCTTCAAAATGAAAAGATCTTTAAGAGCGCTTTCAATAATATTTAAAGTATGATAAGAGACAGTACATACATATGTATGTGTCTGCTATGTATACTCATAAACATTCCTAACATGAAACAGGTAACTTGTTGCCTCTATATTTCCCTTCAAATTATATTCTATACAACCTAAGCCTTATCTGTGTTTGATAAAGTTTCGTTTTTACATGTTTTTGTGGAATGTACTACACTTCAGAAATAATTCAGAAAGCGTTGTCATTGTGTGTAAACAAATGAATTACGCCATGTAAAACGCTGATTGGCATAATATGAACGTTCTACCTCTATAAACGATTCTTTGAGTGTCTGGTACTCCGCATTGAGGTTTAGCTTGAAGTTGAAGAAAAAACTTGCTCAAAAACGTCTCCAGTTACCAATTACATATACAATTCCTTTATACATTTGGTGCTTCCTGCCACAGATTATTCAATCTTCTCAACTAGAAGCAATCAAACGAAATAATAACTGTATACTCATAAATTATTGTAGTGATAGCCCCATTATTAGTGGAAAATAAAGACTCGACTAATTTCAAACAAAGCAAAATGTTGTTGTCTTAAAGTCATAAAAAAAAAGGTAAACAGAAACTCAGATAAATAAACAAAAACGACAAATGCAGACAATGGTTGTGATTGTCACCGGTATTATATAGTCTGCTGCGATGATAATTCAATGAAATTTAAGTAGACATAAGTATGTATAGCTTCTGCATACGAATGTACCTTTACGTGTACTTTTATATTCATGTACAGTGAGAATGCATACGTCGCCGCATAGTGGACATATGCTCCAGACTATTGGAATGTCTAAGGGCTTAACACTTGACATGAGCTCGTCACAGAAAGTTTTCGTACTCCTTTTGTCGGTGTTTGTTTTGTGGCGTATTTATTTATTTTATTTTTTTCAATTTTGGTTGCATGCTAGTTGGCGTTAAGTTCATATTTATACCCCGAACAGGGTATTTTAAGTTTGTCACCGCCGCCTATCGCGGACCACTATAACGTAATAACTGTCGTACAAACTGAACGATCGGAAGCAAGCGCTTGCATGGACAATGTTTTATTTGTGACGAGTATTCTAGCTTCGGCGCAATCGAAGCGCATGTGTTTTCTTGCTTTTGTTTGTATACTGTTAACAAATTTATATGTTATACCTACAATACATATGCACATACTTACGTACGCATTGGCATGATACTTGTGGTCGTTGTCCAGAGTTAGTTGAATGGATTGTATTCACAGGGCACAAGGTATGGCGAAGGTCCACTTTATATGTGTGACGGATTTTGTTTTTTGAACAGAGCAAAGATATTCTACGGTGTCTGCAATAATAAAATCTCTGCGTAATTTCATCACGAATAGAGGCACCCTAAGCTTTGTTCTTTAACAATACCTGATTTTTTGGGTATCTAAAGCTATTTAGTCTTGCTGTTTATTCAGTACGGCCCACATCTGTCAACTACAAAAAATTTCGTTACTTGACGGTAGTCGAGTAGGACATTGGAAAGACCCAACCAACGCGCTAAAAGGGGAGTGATGTTAGTCACCTACGATGTTAGCATATGCAAAAAACGTGAATATTGAGGTAATACTTGCACAGGTGGTAGTTTCTACTTTTTCTACAAGTGCACAACAGCAGTAAATCTAACTGAAACATGTAAGATACACTGAAATTCGCGAAGTTAACTTTGTATGTATGTATGTCTGTCTTATTGCATTCCGTGCGACATAATGTCATATTCGGCACCTATACAGGAATTGACCCAAAGCTACAAAGTCGCAGAGTTCCCCAAATTTGAGCGAATCTGTCAAAAGTGGTTTAAGGGATTACATAGGTTTACTCGGGTAAAAAGCAAAATTTTTCCGTTAATTTTTTTCTCATATAAATTTTTTTATTGTTACACTATTAAGAAACAAAATCTGAAAGTTTTGAAAAAAAAAACATACATTTTTTTTGGATTCGGCCATTGAGACACCATTTCGGTGAGCCCTCGGAAAAAGATGCTTGTTGTTGTTGTTGTTGTTGTTGTAACGATTATCAGTCCCCGTTGGGATGGTGAGGGTTATCAGTGTTGTCGTCGATGTCATCTAACGGGAGGCCCAGGAAACGTGCTGTTTCGACGGGGTCGGACCAAAGGGAAAGGGGTGTTAGATGGGTGGGGTTGGTTGGGCATGCAAAGAGATGGTCAGTGTCATGCGGAGACTCATTGCATGCAGGACATTCGTTAGGTATGTCAGGGTCTATTCTGGATAAGTAGGAGTTTAGCCTGCTACAATATCCAGAACGAAGTTGCGCAAGGGTCACTCGCGTTTCTCGCGGCAACTCGAGCTCTTCGTCTGCTATGGGTGGTGATTTGACTCCAAGTACGCCATTCACGGGGAGGGAGTCGGTGAAGGTGTTGATGGCTCCACTGTGAATGGTGGTCAGTGCCTGTCGGAAGTCTGTTGCGTCCGAGGTCCTGTCGGCGTATTGTTCGATGTCGTCGACGTAGTCAAGGAATGACCTCTTGATGTTCCTAGGAAGCGGTTCCGCTCCAAGCAGATGACTGCAAGGATGATTTCTACGAAAACATCCCAGCAGGAACTGCTTGGAGAGGAGTTCGTTATGCTCCTTGAAAAAGATGCTTCTTACTCGATCATCTAAAATGAAAAAAAAGTATTTTATTTAAAACCTTAACGTAGAACTTGGACGAAGAAAAAAAACGAAAATTGAATTTCTGGCACACATTTCGACAAAAAAAAAAACAAAAAAAACCAAAATGAAAATATCAGAAAAAAAATCCTTCGCCAAGCCCTTAAGAATTTTATCTCAAAGACCTGTGTAAAATTTCATGAAGATTAGTTGAGTACAGTACACAGTTTCGAGAAAAACTTAGCCTAGCTAGCGCAAGTTCTCGAAACTATTAATCGGATCAACTTGTAGGACAATATTCTAGAGGTGTTGTAGAATTTAATAAGACGACAAAAATAATTGAAACGTTTTAAAAGTTGTGATTTTAACATGAACGACGAAAAACGTCCTGTGCGGCCACAAAACTTTGAAGACGAGAAACTTGGAGCATTACTCGATGAATATTTGTTGCCAAGCACATGAAGGTCTCTCAGAATCTTTTGTTTTTTTGCATGTCCGAAATATTTCTTTAACGCTACGAAAATAAATCCCGTGACTGGTAATGAAGAATGAATCAATTATGATAACCAACAAGCAAATTCAACGGCAAAGCCGAACATCTGTATTTAATAGGATCTAAAGGTCGTGCTGTATTTGAGCTTCTAAAATTCGGTGAAACCGCACGAATATGGTCGAATGGTTGAAGTGATACACAGATAAGAAAACTTCAGACATGCCAGAATACTGCACTCCGGACTATAACGAGATACCCCTTGATGTCCCTGCATAAGGAATTCCTCTCCAAACAGTTTTTGCTGGGTTTTTTTTTTGTAGAAACTTGCTTGAAGCGCAACCACCTCTTAAGAATATGAAGAGATCTTTCCTTACCATGTCAATGACATAAGACAATAAGCCGACCATGACCCCGTCAAAGCAGTACATTTAAACAGACATGAAGCAATAATTTCCCTTCACAACAACGCTCGGCATCATGTTGCAAGATGGCTAAAAAACTATTTAGAAAACAGCGGCTGAAGCGGCCTTGAAATTGATGGGGACACAGTAAAGTCGTTGGTTGATGCAAACCATTGTACAACAATTAAAGATTGCGAAAATATTAAAATTGTCCAACGCAACCTTTTATAAGATTAGTATACTGTCAATTTCGCAGTTTGACATTTGGGTTCCCCATATTCTTACAAAACGAAATTTGCACTAACGACTGCGAGTTGATTATCAAACGTCAAAGAAGTGATGTGTGCTGGAATGGCGACAAAACATTGGTTTGCAAGAATATATACCGCAAGAGATCATGGCCTAAAAAAGACGAAACAGCTCAAACCACTTTGAAGGCCGATATGCACTAACAAAAGGTTATGTTGGTTTTTTTGACATCTTTCATCCGAGGCTGTTGGGTCCTTTTCATTGCGGTATTCTTTTACTTGGCGGGTCCCAAACACAGCTCACAACTGTTGGTTTTATCCATCGGCGTTACGAGTTTTCGAGAGAAAGGTTCTGCGTAAGATTTATGAGATATACATCGACATTGTTCAAGGAATTAATAGATGGCGGCTGTGCTGGCGAGATCATGTCGACCGAATTGATGAAAACACTCTAGCACTGAGAGTATATGATGC